AAAGACAGAGCATTTGAGAAAATTAAAAGAAATAAGATAAAAAAATAAAAAAAGATTAAATTTTATGGACAAAAATTACGGCCCAACGTGTGAAAAACCAGATTTTGAAGAAGCTAAAGCATGTTTTCTATCTTCGCTTCGAAAAGCAAAAGAGGAAATCGAATCCATTGAAGCAAGAACCAAAGAGCAGGCTAACAATTTTAAATGGGTCGAAATGCGAAAACACCTTCACATTTTGGAGAGGTTTGTAAGCGAAAACCAACGATTTGTTGTGCAAATTTAGTTCATAAGCTCCTTACACAACCATTTATCAGAAGCAATGCAGTAGAGTGGGGTAAAGTCAATGAGTCTACTGTAAAAAATATTTTAATAAAACAGCATAAATTGAATATCGAGTCAAGTGGATTATTTATTAGCGGTGAATACCCCTGGTTTGCTGCAACAGGACACAACTGATATTATCAGATTCAAGGTCAATTAAATGTAGCAAAAAAATAATATTGTATTCTTTGTATCTGGACTAAAAATGACATTAAGCTGGAAACAATTACTATACTCTGTTTTTAAACTATACTCTGTTTTTAAACTATACTCTGTTTTTAACCAATACTCTGTTTTTAAACTAAGAGGAGCGAATTGAAAAGACGCATTTACACAGGGAAAAGTAACTAGATTTGTTACTAAGAGCGACTTTCGAAATATAGTCGTGTTCAAAATTTATGAAATAATTATCTTTATCGGCCTTAGTCGGCGAACGGCCAATGAGCGGTTAAGAAACGACTAAATGTCATAGAAGTAATTTTTTAATTGGTCCCAGACAACGGTCGCAAATTTCACATTATTGTGATCTGAAACGTGTGTCTAAAACGAAATGTCACTGTTAAATTAAAGTCAATATGGTTGTTGATTGATGTCAGAAATACTTTTTTCTTGTTTTTGAAATCGACTTTTTGAGAATAACTATGATCTTTTTAAAATGAATATTAAATATTTAAGAAAATTGTTAATGGAATATCCAGATGTAGTCAGGTTCGTATAAAATATAAAGATATGTTTACATTTTTAAGGATAATTTTTTATAGGTATAAAAAGTAAAAGTTAATCAGTGAATGACAAGTGGATCACACAGAAACTGGTATCTCTTCTATGAGTAATGTGGATATTATGGCTTATTTAGTGTTAACCCATGGTTAATGCACTAGAGGGCAAATAAAGGCATTTAAAAGTTTACAGGCCTATGAGTCAGAATTTGTTTTGAAAACTGGAACCAACATTTTCATAACACTACATGTCAACATATATTTTTTAAAGTGAACTATTCATACATACATACCTATGTATTAATTTTAAGTATTTTTAAAACATTTTTTGTGAAAGTGATGTTAACTCATTGTGCCAAATTAAGATTATCCCTAAAGTAGTAGATGGTGTTTTAAATGTTATAACAATTTTGTAAATAGTTTTATTCTATTCTAATAAATAAAATTTACTTAAATATTTAGTTACACTTTAATCATTTTGGTTAGAAATTCATCAATTTTTAGTTTTTAAAAATCAGTAAAAAAATAATTTTTTTTCTAAAATACTTCGGAATTCATCTCTTCATGATAATCTCCCATCTTTTTACCTTCAAAAACCAATATTGCATTTTCTACAAAACCTTCAGAATCAGCATGTAAAATAATAAGGTGTCTTCCCTTTCTTGTAAGGCTTTTCAGGAATTGCTACCTTTAATAGTACTCAGTGTAGAAGGATCCATAATTGTAGATTTTCAATACAATTGCTTACTGAAGAACTATTATTTGCGAAATAAAGTAAAAAACTAAGTAATGGATGAGATATCAAATTATAAAATGTCAGAACTGTCAACAATATAAATTATTAGCTGATGTTCATGCTAAAAAGTAATGTGTGAACCTGACTGTATTCTGACCACTCAGAAGGCTACAGAATTGCCAACTTAAATTCAAATCGCTCCTCTTAGTTTAAAAACAGAGTATAGGAGGAGCGAACTGAAAAGACGCATTTACATAGGGAAAAGTAACTAGATTTGTTACTAAGAGCGAGTTTCGAAAAACAGTCGTGTTCAAAATTTATGAAATAATTATCTTTATCGGCCTTAGTCGGTGAACGGCCAATGAGCGGTTAAGAAACGAATAAATGTCATAGAAGTAATTTTTTAATTGGTCCCAGACAACGGTCGCAAATTTCACATTATTGTGATCTGAAATGTGTGTCTAAAACGAAATGTCACTGTCAAATTAAAGTCAATATGGTTGTTGATTGATGTCAGAAATTCTTTTTTCTTGCTTTTGAAATCGACTTTTTGAGAATAACTGTGATCTTTTTAAAATGGATATTAAATATTTAAGAAAATTGTTAATGGAATATCCAGATGTAGCCAGGTTAGTATAAAATATAAAGATCTGTTTACATTTTTAAGGATATATTTGTTATAGGTATAAAAAGTAAAAGTTAATCAGTGAATGACAAGTGAATCACACAGTAACTGGTATCTCTTCTATGAGCAATGTGGATATTATGGCTTATTTAGTGTTAACCCATGGTTAATGCGCTAGGGGACAAATAAAGGCATTCAAAAGTTTACAGGTCTATGAGTCAGAATTTGTTTTGAAAACTGGAACCAACATTTTCATAACACTACATGTCAACATATATTTTTTAAAGTGAACTATTCATACATACCTATGTATTAATTTTAAGTATTTTTAAAATATTTTTTGTGAAAATAATGTTTACTCATTGTGCCAAATTAAGATTATCCCTAAAGTAGTAGATGGTGTTTTAAATGTTATAACAATTTTGTAAATAGTTTTATTCTATTCTAACAAATAAAATTTGCTTGAATATTTAGTTACATTTTAATCATTTTGGTTAGAAATTCATCAATTTTTAGTTTTAAAAAATCAGTAATAAAATTATTTTTTTCTAAAATACTTCGGAATTCATCTCTTCATGGTAATCTATCTTTTTACCTTCAAAAACCAATAATGCATTTTCTACAAAACCTTCAGAATCAGCATGTAAAATAATGTGTTTTGAGGCTAATGGCCGTAGTAGTCGACGCCGATGACACCAAATAAAAAAAAAATATGGTGTCTTCCCTTTCTTGTAAGGCTTTTCAGGAATTGCTACCTTTAATAGTACTCAGTGTTGAAGGATCCATAATTGTAGATTTTCAATACAATTGCTTACTGAAGAACTATTATTTACGAAATAAAGTAAAAAACTAAGTAATGGATGAGATATCAAATTATAAAATGTCAGAACTGTCAACAATATCAATTATTAGCTGATGTTCATGCTAAAAAGTAATGTGTGAAACTGACTGTAATCTGACCAATCAGAAGGCTACAGAATTGCCAACTTAAATTCAAATCACTCCTAGTTTAAAAACAGAGTATAGAGACAATGATTTTTGGGTAAACACTATGTTGCCTCACCTTAAAAAAATTTATTTTCACTGCCTTCTCCCGATATTGTGGATTCAAGATTAGCCAGGGGTATGTCAATTAGGGAACCCGAATATATCCTTAAAGCAATAAATAACAAAGAAAAGAAGACTTATAGTTTGAGTTGAACAAATTAAGAATTATTTAATACAATAAAAATATTTTATGAAAATTGTTTTAGTTTAACTCGTCAAAAAATACCAGTATTGCCTTTTAATTTAAAATATAATACCTACAGTACACTTATCTAAATTAGTCACGTAACCGTCCCTGCCTAAGAAGGTAATGTAAATAATATAAGTCTTATGTTCAATTCGAAATTTACAATTTTATATTTTTTATACACAAAAATATTTGCAAAATTTTTTTTATCTAAAATCAAAAAAATGATAATTACCTACTAGTCAACTCAAATAAAACAAAGTTTAAGAACGAAACATAAAAATTTTAAAGAATTACTTAATTTTTATATAATAAATCATTTATTTTATTTAAATTCTCACACTAATAACGCAGTTATTTATTATGTATTCGGAAATAAGTGAAATTTTTCAAATAATATAGATGATCCTGCTAATCTACAACAATTAATTTGTATAAAATAACAGTGCAGCAGCAGCCAAGGAATATTATGTTAGCGTATCACAAACAACTTTTCTAGTGTATCTCTCTCACAGGCGATTTCTTCGAGGAAGGGAGACGGATGCTAAACAAGAGGTAACCAGCAAAACCGGCATTTGAATTGTACACGTGGTGTCGGGGCGTCTTAAGTCCAATCTATTGTACCCGAAGTTCATTTTCCTAAGTCTAGTGGTTCTATATATCGACTTCCCCTGGGGTGGGGAGGAGTAGCGGGGGAAGTTTAGTGGTTTGAAATCGTTTTAGGTAGGGCCTGCTACAACTTTTTTTTAGCAACCCATATTTTTTGTGCTTAATTTGAAGAGAATGCATTAGGGAATTAAATATAAAAGATGAGAGAAGGAGTCGGTCATTTAAAAGACATTCTTTCACGCAGATGATACAATTTTATCGTGCAGAGAATAATTTTAGGTTCAATTTTCAATGATAAGGGTAGAAAATTAACGCTAAAGAACCGTTTTGTACCTTCCATTAGTAACAGTATTATTTTCGTATGATTTAGAAACTTTTTGGGTGTTCTGCAAGATTCTGCATCTAGCCAGCTTTTGTTAAATCTTCCATTGATCCGTTCTGGACTTATTCTCATCTATGGACTGACAGTAGGACACGTTCAAGCGCTATAGATACCATTTATTAATTATAATTAAATTAAAATTAATGAGATTATACATAAAATTTATTTTACGTATATTTTTGAATGTCAATGTAGATGAGATACTTGTATTTTATTTCAGTTCTGTAGCTCTACATCACTTATGCACCAGCCGCCACTGATTTAGAGCACGTTGTTTTTGGATAAAACTTCAATTACTTTGCAAACATATAACTGCAATTTTTAAAAGTTTTTAATTAAAGCTTGGGCAAAATTTTGCAACCCAATCCTTACAATCGTGTTTTGGTAAAATAACAGAGATGGGACCTTAGACTATTATCACAGTGTAAATTAGGACGGTACTATCTATGGTTTTATTCCAAGGAATCCGCATATTGCAGCTATATGACACACAGCAGATTTTACAGTGTCGACCGCCTTCAACGCGTAGGTGAACAATCCAACTGTTTTTTTACAGACTGGTTCTGCAATTTCTTCACAGTCTTCGTAGGAATCAAAATTGTTAGGTGTTGGGTTACAGCCACCATATGGTCGCTCTTGACAACTACCGTGATGCCATGAAATGGCAGTGTCATCATCATTACAATTGTCGTATTCTTCTTCGGTTGACAGCTGGCAATCTGAAAAAAAAATACCCTATATAAAATAATATGCAAGATAAACCGTTTAAATGCACGGCACTGGTAACAAGTTGTTAGTTTATAAGCATGCTATTTGGAGCCACTATTCCAAAAGGATGAATGCTATGTTTCCAGTTTCCATAAACTTTCATGAGATTAGAGTTATTTTAAACGCACAAGCTGCACCTTGTTTTATTTTTTGTCAAGCTCGATACCATCCATACAGTGGCCATACTATTGCTGGTATATTTTAAAGATAGGTTTGACAACTGAGTTGACAACCTCGTAAAAAAATTAATAGCGGAGTGGTGGAAGGCGAAATAGGCAAAATAATGGTCATTTGTGCAAAAAGAGTGGATGTGGACAATCCACTAGAGTTGTATAGTATATTTTTTCTACGGCCCACTAACGAAAATCTACAAATATTGAAAATTATTTTAGGTTATAAAGATAAAATAACTAATTTAAAAATAATTTATGACTTTTACTAATTTATAAAATAAAATGAACATGAAAAATAAAATATTTAATTTAATTCCAGATTTGCACTCAGGCTTTTTGCGTGGAAGGCACAAAAATATTTCAAGAATATTCAATGCATATCTCAACTGCATACTCCTATATTCCATGGATATGCCATATCCGCTAAGGCATGTGGCAGGAAGATTTCAGGAATATTCATGGTCACCATGAAACATGTGCTCACGATATGTTTTTATCTGCCAAAAGATATGTATGGGATATTCTTTGGATTTACTGAGGATATCTATGTATGCCTATATTCATGGTAATTTAAATATTCATGGCATATTCAAACTTGTTTTTGTAATGCAGTAAATTTTATTTGAAAAATAAAGCAAATTTTCAAAAAATAAAACTATGTACAAAAAACTGTAAATTTAAATTTATCACTTACTTTTCTCCCAAAAAAATAATATATAAGATATGTAATATGTATTATGAGATATTAATAAATTATTCACAATTAAATTTTGATGCTTTTAATAATAAATTGAGATGAAAATATCAGTAAAATAGAAATATTTCAAAATCTTTAGACAAACAATACAGTAATACTTCTATACCATCTTTAGGTCACTTTATTTATAGTAATGGCTTCCTCTACATTTTCCGTTGCCATTTGTGTACTGTGGATTTTCCCACAGATCCCTAAAAAAAACAAAATAGGAATACATAGTGCCTTGTCTGCAATTTTATGACGAATAGCCCATATTTTGATTTCTTCTAAAAACTTTTATAATTATCAATTACTTTATTACTAACAATAGGTAAATTATTAGCATTAGATGTCTTTGAACTAATATTATCCTTTACAAAGAGAGATGTTGAAATAAACTCAGATTCTTGAATTTTACGAGTTTTTTTTTTTTCCCGGTGAAAAGAATGATGGTATATCCTCGGAAGATTCAGTAAGAAGCTTACATTTTAAATTCATCTGAAGCTAATGCTCTATTATTATTTGAGAACAAAGAAAATCGTCTACCAATTGATTTACAGTTTTTATAAAATATTTATTTATATTTATAATTTGAAGTACCACACTGATACTATAGAAGGACCATATATTATAACTAATCAGACTTACCCCTTAGGTTGGTATATCGTGTGACTTACCTATAAAAAAAAATACGCGTGGCACTCGGGGACTGCCGCGGTAAAGCTATTGCATAGCATTGTTTATCAACTTATGCAATTAAAATTATTTATTTATTTTATTTATGCAGTATTTTCTTTTACTAGGCGCATACTTTATGACTGTTAGAATCATTTTTTTTACATTTTCTTGTCTACATTATAGGAAAACTATACATACTTTTTTTATCTATGAAAAGGACTTTCGACTCAATTAATCACCTTTTACTGTGTTCGAAACAATTCAACTTTGGAGAATCTTCTAAAATTCTTCATTTAATTAAAAATTTATACTCAAATGCTACAGTTGTAAAGTTTACAGTTTAAATCAAAGCACAGAACAAAATATATTTGAATTAAAACAGAACCCAAAGCCGCCTCTGGCAATTATAGAGGTGACTCGAAGATATTACGTAATTTTCGTCATAAAGACAATGGCAAATAGAAAGCTGCCATGTGTACGCGTCCTAAGATGATTGGTTCGCACGGCACTAATTCAGAATCTTATTTTCACTCAACGAACTAACATCTCATGTTGACCTTTCACTTGTTCTCTTAACTAGGCGTCAGGTCGCCATTTTTAATTTTGTTGTGTAAAATCAAATTCATGCACTGGCATGGCTGTGGATAATTTGCTTGAGCGACAGTGCTTTACTAAGGTTGTAAATATAATTTAGTGTGATGATGTAAATAATTTTTAGTATGGATTTACAAGATTAAATGAAGTTAAATGTTGTCGGCATTTTATTTAATAACAAAGAAAGAAATCCGGTGCTCTTTCTCTCTCGCTAGCAACTAGATGAAGGGCTGCATCAGTAGATCTGCCTGGGGTGTATGCATATTGGTTTGAGTATAGTAGTCTTGTTGTAATTACCGCATCCCTTATATATCGTTCGCATAGCCTCTCCAATGTTTTCATGGAAAACGATGTCAGACTAATTGGTCGATATGTTTTTGGGACAGTGTAATCCATCTTTCCAGGTTTGGGTATAAATACCACTTTTACTTCTCCATTTTTTTGGGGATATACCTCAGAGCCAACCGTCAGGTCCTGGCGATTTAAATGAAGAGATGCTGGATATTGCTCATCTAATTTTTTCATCGTCTGCAATGTGTTTGGCAGTTTGCCAGTTATAGACAGATGGATTGTATTTTTCCTCTGCCTAGTCCGCCACGTCTGTGATGACCGAGTCACGGAAGTGTTTTGACAGCAGAAGTTTGATGCTAACTTCGAAGTTAGCAGTTTTCGTGCCATTCTATTTGAAAAGCGCACCAATGCTTCGGTGTGGATCTTTTGAGAGAGCTTTTTGAAGTTTCGCTGCCTGCATGAAATCTTCGATTTCTTCGCGGTAGGATCTCCATGCATCTCTCTGTTTCTGTCTGACGACTTTTTGTATTCATTGAGGTGAGATTCGTAAGTATTTCAGTCCCCTTTGAGTTTTGTGGTTCTTGCCTTATTAAAAGATTTCCTTCTTCTTGAGGTGATTCAACTCGTGACACCACTATGCGATAGTCGTCTGATCGTGTTGGACCAGCTTCAGAGGACAGGATTTCTTATAGGCATTTATTGTGTTTATTGTGATTTGAATAGTGTTCGTGTACTTTTCCAAAGCAGTATTATTGTTTGGTGTTTCGGCCTCCATCTTTCTCAGAGCCTCTTGAAGAAGGGGATAGTTTGCCCTGTCCGTCTTCCTAGGGTTCTGTGATAGCGTGGAGGTCGGCAAAATCAAGTTTATTTTGAATGTTAACCAGCGGTGGTCTGACATCGAAATGTTATCAGACACTTGCCAGTTTAGAATTGATTTATAGATACCAGTTTTGGATAAAGTGATATCTATTAGTGTTCGACTGCGCGAGTTTAAAAATGTTGGTGTGGTACCTTTATTTAAAATACAAAGATTTTTGGTAATTATATAATAATTATATAATCATAAAGTGTTTAGATTAGTTAGTAATTAAATATAATAATTAAAATCAAACATATAGACAAACAAATTTAGTAAATGCAATTTCCAAAATACGAAATATATATTCTCCAATCATACTTACACGAAATTATGATAATACACCAGTTAAAAATTAAAGAAAAGAGAAAACGAATGCATCGGCCAGGGATCGAACCTGGAACCTTCAGATTAAAGCCATCCGCGCCTCTACCAGTTGGGCTATCGAGGCACATGGCTTCGAAAGTCGAATTCGTAGATTTGAAGTCAATCAGATTTCGACTCTCGTCGGCGCAAACACATTCTAATCTAATTTCAGCTCCCTCCTTCCTCAATTCTCCTTAAAGTCTCCCGAGAAGCCACCCTTGTGATATAAGAGGACAACAATCTCTAATGAAAATTAATTATTTTATTTTCTTTTATAGGTTGTGAACTACATTAAGTATTTTTTATTTTATGATCTTAGCTATTATTAGTTATTAGATATTTTTAATATTAGGTATTAAACGTTTTCTTTTATAGGTTATCAACTACAATAAATGTTTACAGTACTTTTTATATTATAATCGTAACTATTATTACTTATCAGATATCTTAAATATTTATTAATTAAATAAAATTATTTAAAAAAACTTATTAACCTTCTTTAGTAAAATCCTCATCATCATCATAAGTATCATACAATCCAAAATCTTGACCCAGAAAATGATTAAAGAGTCTGTTGCAGCCAGCCATTGGTACGACAAATATGAGATAAAAACATACTAACATTACAACTAATTGATATACTCCGAAAATATACGTTAATTTTGCACTAATCCGATATTTGAAAAAAAAATATTAATTTTCACACAAATTTTCATCTCACCAGCTCACCACTGTCAAAATAAAATTTTAAATAGTTAATCGAAATCAGAAGCTTGAAATTGGTGTATTGTGTATCAAAATTGGATTATAATAAGCATTCATGGAGTTATCAAAAATGTAACACATTCAATATAATTATTTTAATAAATAAAAATAGGCGGGAAAAAATGTCCATGTGTCACGGACCTATGGCACGTGAGGTACATCTCTTCTGTGACAATGTTCTTTAAACTAACTACGTACAGTGTACAAGTTCTTGGCATTTATTTGTGGTCTCATGTCTCATCAATTCTCCTTGTTTATTTTTCCTTCTAAATTATTAATCCAGTACCATTTGTAACTAATTTTTAATTATGAAACAAGCTGCGCTCTCACGCATCTGTCTCTAAAACATCACCTCTTCCAAGGTTCTGGAATAATTCTTAAATTTTTATACTACATTATTTCTAGAATTTACATAATAATGAAGCACCAAAAGTAGAGGGGTTTCTAAGCAAGTCTTCTTCACATAAAGCCATTTCACTTTTCATGCAATTTTGTAACATGGATAGCTGGTTATTTTATCTACTTTGATATGTGTTTGAGCTCAATTTATAGGGCTTGGATTAGGTTTTTAAATAACTCTAATAATTTTAAAAAAGAAGTTGGGCACCACTATATTTAAAGCTTATACACTTAACTCTAGATTATTGATAAAAATATAGAAAATCACTAACCACTAACAAATTATACTAATATGAAAAATCTTATTTGTTATAGAATTAAAAAAAAATAATGTTATGAAAATCAATTTGTAATATAAAAAAATTAACTCACCCTTTATTCTCCCAATATAATTTTAAAATCCCAGGGTCTGTGGGTTCACACAAACAAGGATAGCAATTTGGATTTCAGCACACAGAAAATTCTTACCTACACCTTAATCTAACCAATTTCAATGTTCCATGGGTTCAAAATATTGAATTTTGAAACTAAAAAATTTAAAAAAAATATTAATTTAACAATTATATTAAATAATATGTTCTTTCTTCTTTCACTTAAAAATCTCTGTCTATGTGCTATCGTCTCTGTCCGTTCTCTGTATAATCTGTTCTTAGGAATATTTTAAAAATTGTCCATTGTTTTCGACTCGAGATATTTCTCAAAATATTCATGAATTCCGATATAATTTGGAAATTAGTCAATAAAAATTATATTCGCATATCAAACTATTTTTTTTTTCTTTAGTTAAATGTTTAATAAAAATAGTTTAACGTTTTGCTAGTAACTGCACGACTTTTCTTTTCTACTTAGTTACAAAACAAGTAAAAAATAATAAAAAATATATTATACTAAATTGTTACAATCAAAAGAGCGAGTTAGACCCTGGCCGAATCACTTTATATTTGCTAATCCAGGCTACCGTCGGTTACAGGTATATGATAAAACAGGAAATATTATCACAAGTTCGAAATAAAAATATTATTGGAATACGGATTACTACAAAATTAAATTAGTTTTTGATTTTAGCAAAAACTTATAAATAGAAAATAAATCTGCTACAAACTCCTGTTTTCCAAAAATTGATATCTGCAAATTGATAAAATTTAATATACATTTTTAATTTTTATTTAAAAAACTAGGCTGTAACAAAAAAATTAAAAGACTAGAGATTATTAGGGTGTTTCTTTTGAATACTTCAGCAAAAAATAAAATTATACTGATGATAAATAACTAAGATACATGGATAATGCTAAAATGTTTAAAATTCCATTGATTGAATATACTCAGCAACAATATTCTGGCCGATATATATCAGAAAAGCAATTAAAAAACTTATTTTAGACCCCTTTCGAAAAAATTTAAGTGATTAAATACCAGTAATTGGAATTGACATTGACTAATTATTCGATAACCTAACGATTAAAGAAAAATTAATTCTTACAAAATTACAAACATGTTTTTTTTAAAAGTTTCTTTCAATTTTGTACCGCGAGAACTAATTTTAAAAATCTTAATTCCACAAATTAATCATCAATTTGTCACCGGATCACTGCCCTTAAACATGCTGGTTTTAATCTATTCGTCTTTGTAAACCAGCGGCGTAGGTACCCAAAAAAAACCTTGTACGTAAGTAAATCATCTAAATATTTCATTATTGTTACATTTTCTTTTAAATTTAATTTGACTCAACAGCTGTAGTTATTGACACGATGTCATATAATAATGTATACAACGTAGTACCCAAATTATTATGAGATATTTTTTTACAAGGATTTTTTATGGTTACTATTTAGAAAAAACTGGAATAGGAGTGTATGGGCCGAGAACCAAGCGCTCCGAAAGCTTGGGAAAATACCCAAGCATCTTCCAGGCGGAAATTCACACCATCGAGAAATGTATCCAGTTTAACATCGAGAGAAACTATCATAGACAAGAGATTCTCATCATGTCCGATAGACAAGCAGCCATCAAAGCGCTGAGCTCTTACGTAATCAGCTCAAAAATGGTCTGGAGATGCCTAGAACAATTGAATGAGCTAGGCGAGAAAAATAGAGTTACTCTCACGTCATGTTGAGAAAAAATGTCCTTGATTGAATGTATTGATGAAAGGGAATCAGTGTAGATGGGCACCCTTTCACGTTCTTCAAGTGGTAACATCACAGGTTTCACACTTGTGAATTTTACCAGTGGTGTTTCGGAAGTTGTCATTGAGCCACCCACTCCATTTTAATTTAGTAAAGAAAATATAATTGAAATGATTTGTTTGATAATTTGACTGGAAGATTGTTTTAAAAGTATACTGTTGGTATTTTCTTTACTATATTTAAGAAAGTTTTAGTTCAAGGAGTACGAGAAAAAAGTGATGCTAGACAAGTCGATATATTATCTAAAAAAAAGCTTTACCTGTAAAGGAAGCTCGTAGGATTCACAACAGAGACTCTTCACTGCAATGGATTTAATATCTCCAAAACAAAGTCACAGGGGAGAGTTATGAACGGTGTTTAAGGTGTGTAAAGATGTTTTGGATGAAGATAAAAAGCAGGCCTACCATAGTCCAATTTGGTTTGGATTAAAGCTCTGTAAATTCTTATTAGTGATTCTTCGTCAATCCCCCAATAAAGTTTAGGACAGACACCTTTGGTTTCTTGTATTTGTCGCTTAAAATTGAGCTTATTATCAAAAATCACGCCAAGAAATTTGTTCAACAGTTTAGAAAGACACCATCGAGGATTATATGAGGAATTGAGATACCTTTGTATCTTTTACTAGACTCCATAACTTTTGATTTTGAAATGTTTTTAGGTTATAGCACAGTGGCTGAGATTGTTGACAACATTTTGAATTATTGTACTAACCATTTTTATAGCTTGGTAAAAGAGAACAAGATCATCTGCATATAAAGCACATTTAACCGGTAGTTGGATAATGGAACAAATATGATTAATTGCTAGAAGATATAAAGTGGGACTCAATACTGAACTCTAAGATACTTCGTAAACAAGATTTGATCCCGTTTACAGTTACATCAAAAGTTTTGTTGTACAGGAAATTGCTTAAGAAATAAACCAAATTATCAGTTATTTCATATGTTTTAAGTTCACTAAGGATAATGGGCCTCCATGTAAAATTGTAGCACTTTCTATATCCAAAATTACTGCAATAGCACCTTGTTCACAATTTCAGTTTAAATAGAGACAAGATAGTCCATTCTATTGATCATGTGCCTCAATTTTTTTAATAGTTTGCATAGAGTACAAGTTGGGCCTAAACGCGTTACGAAAAGTTTAGTTGTTATCTGATTTCTTAACTGGAATGACTGTTGACTAATGCAAAAATTAAATTTTTGACAATTTTTTTATACAGTATGCAACAGCCAAATGGAATAAATTTGGGAATAAATAAATGGGGGCGAGTTCGGAAAACGCTCGGACACATCGATTGGTATTTTTAGTTGCGCATTTTTTTTAACAAAAAACAGGGTGTCATGTAACAATGACCAATATCAACTTTCTTATTTTAAATACAACACCCTGTATATTTTTTAATTTTTGGATTCTTCAGAAAATTCTAGCCTATGTCCTATACCTAACTGTTTCGAAAATATTAAATGTTTTCTGATTTATTGCAAAAATTAACATTAAAAAAATAAAATTGTTTGCTTAATGAAATTCGCTACAACACACTCAATACCCATTTAGCAGTAAGTGAGGTGCGCCCCATTTAAGCGTTTATTTTCATTAGGTATCAATATTTTATACTTCATGTCTCAATTATAAAATTAATCATTTACAGAATTGCCAGAACTATTTCCTTAATAATTCGGTTAACCTATTTTGTTGTAAATTATGTTACCCATCACTCCACAGTGTGCTGCGGTCGTCATTAGTAAAGGTGCTAGTAAAAGAAGAAGGAAGAATATCGAGAAATGTCCCTTCACTTCAAGAAACATCTGGACGTTCAGGAAGGTTCTAGAAGGTTAAATCGAGCTATATAAGTCGGTGATCCGACGTCAGACAATCAGTTTTACAATAGACATTATACGTTAATGTTATCAGTTGTATAATTATTGTAAAAGTTTAGTTGAAATAAATTAACCTGCCTAACAATAATGTATGTATGCTACTAACCTTATAGGCAATAAACTAGAGATAAATAACAATTTTGGTTTATTTTAATTCACCTTTCTATCACTTATATTAAATGTGAGTTAGGATTTCCGTGATTTTGCATACTCCATACCTTTTTTTATAAAATAGCAGTGGTTCCCCTGGGTAATACACTCCTTACCTTCCCCTAATATGCTCACCGACGACCAGCCTACCTTTGTCACAGTAACCTTAGCCTTGATAAAAAAAAACATATACATATCTAAAATAGAGTAGTCT